ATGGGATGGGAAGAGTACAATTATAAATGTCATCAGAGACTACTGTGAAAGAAAAAAAGACTGGAAGAGAATCAATTCCCTTAAATTCTCCGTTTCTCTGCTTAAGTAGCTCATTATTATTTTTTAAAACATTTTTCATTGATAGAAAGCATCACGACTAGACTAGAATTCCACAACATCAATCTTTGTTTTGATTTCTGTAGTTCTCTAGGAGAAAAAAAATCCCAAATCAAGCTACATGAAGCATTAACAATATTCAGGTATTACAATGGAAGCACTTATTTATTACTTCATAGAACAGATTAGTTTTAAAAGTGTATTTACATGTTCTAAGTTATACAAAATACAGTATTCCAATAATCATGTTAATCACCATATTTCAGACAACTTCACATAAAAGTGCAGAGGATGCATCCATCCATGATCCTGGCCAGTAGCAAGCGGTCACCCGCAGCGTGACAGATGAGAGCTGCTATTGAGCTCCCCCGAGAAAACAAATCCCACCAGACCTTCTCACTGAGACGGAGCTGCAGATCTAAGGAAACATTCAGGCAGGTACACGAGCAAAGTTTGTTGAGTCCCACAGACCAAAATCACATGCCTTAAGTTACTAGATGTATGTGAAGTACATTGTTTATTTTTTACAGATGTTGTACAGCAAAGGGCTTCTGCTCATGCCTTAGTTGGGAAAATGAAGTAACAAGGGTTTTGGCTATGTAACAGGCACCCAAATCACACTTAATATCAACAGCCTGGTAACTGCAACTGATGGTGTGTTAAGGACACAATTTTGCAACCGACTGCCTGGGCAGAGCTTCACATTCAAGAACGGATCCTGTGAAGTCCACATGGTTCACTACAGATACAGGGCTCATCCCATGCAGAAATGACAGCAGAATTGAGGCCTTCAAATACTGGGGCCTCAGATAGTCAGTTCCTCACGATAAAGTACTATAAGTTCACATCGGCAGGTCAAGTACCAGCGCAACACTGCACTTGGTTAAAGCAATAACTATTATTTTCATGCCTTTCTGCATTAACTCTCCTTCCTATCTGTATATTCCTTTAGCTTTCCTCTGGACTGCTGAAATGAAATCAAGAAAAGGAGATTCCCACAACTTCAACAAGTACATCTCTTCTGTATGACGCTAAACTGAGGGGATGAAAATTGTCCTAAATTTGGGAACAGTGAGGCTTTAGCAGTTTTAGCAATCTGGCTCAGGTCAGACTCTTGCATTACTCTTTTCTTCCTGCTTTCATTATGTTCATCTATAAATGTATGTTCCTCAAAGGATTCCTTTTCCCCTGCAGCTCGAACTTTAAGCAGTTTGCATTCCAAAAGTGACTCACTAAGGGACAGCACACTATCAAACTAACAAATTACATTCTGTATGACAAATCCGCGTTATCATGAATTAAACCATTGTAATTCCTCAATTAGCATTATGTTAGCATCTCTGCAGAAGTTTAGTTAATCCTATTCTTTCTACCTTTATCCCAGTCTTTCGTTATGAGTTTATCTATCTTCACCATGTTACAGTAGCAGATCTACAGATCAGAGCAATTAACTGAAAATCGAGAAAGCCAGCCAGCGTCTTGTGGTGCTGCGAAGGCAAAACACTAGCATTAACAAATGATTTTGCTGCTTATGGATTTAGATGTAGGTTGCTCAAAAGAAAGATTCATGCATTAAGACGAATTTGCTTTTCTCATATTGTGCTTAGCAGCTAAAACTGTAAGGGTGAACAAAAGCCTATCTGGATTTTACAAAGGTCCAAGATACCTCCACCCTCACTAAAAACAAAGGCATCTGATCACAAGGAACAAAGCCCTGTTATGCTGAGGAGGCTTACAGGACTGAAGTAGCAATGCTCTCTTCTGTGCAAGTCCATCATTTCTGCTGTCTACACAAAAACATTTTTCCACACAAGTGGTTTTATTGCAGTATTCCCAAAGCTGCTGGCCTTCCACTGCACCTCCCAACTTGAAATGAATTTGGTACACCTAGCAGCAGTCCTGCAGATAATGCTGGAAGTGATTTCAATAGCTACAACACCTTGGGCTTTCAAACAGCACAGCAGCAAAATGGAGCATTGTCAGAAAAGAAATAAAGTGGTACTAGAAGAACTGCAAAAAGCCACATTTATCTTGTTTTAAACAAGCCTTTCTTCTCCCAGCACAGGTTATATAGTATGCTACTTTTTCCACCCTGTCCATGCAGGGAGAAAGAAAAAAGAAAACAAAACCAGAAGCAAAGCAGAACTCAGATTATCTAAATATCAAAGCTATCACTAACTGTGTAAATGAACTAGTCGTAGGACCAGTTTACCCACATGACACCCGCAATCTGAGATACGTCCACCTGATCCCAGCACAGGATGTAAAGCAAAGACACCCAGGACTCCAGTGCTTACTGAAACTTTACGGTAACCATGTGAGAATAAAACTTTTTCCTGTGGGAGTTAATGAGATCTTTGTTACTGGCTTCAGTGGCAGCAGATCTCGGCAACAGGTGAAAGATTAGGCTTCTCGGGAATTTTGAAATACAAAATGCATTATTATAAGGAGATATAACAATGCATAGATTAGAAGACCACGTATGAAATGTTGTGCATCATTTATTCATAGTCTGTTTCTGCTGTAAAATAAGACAACGCTCATTGCCCACGAAAGTCATCAACAGTTTATATTTTCAAAGTTAGCACTGTGAAATGGCTGTTTGGTGTTAATCCATTTCCTAATGAGTGTACAGCTGTGTCAAAAACTGCTCCCTTTACGGGCACTCCCCGCTGTGATGCTGAAAGGCGCACTCCCTTTATTCTCTCCCCTTGGAGATGGTCCCTTTATGGCTGGAATGGGGTACACTGGCAGCAGGCACATTTCTGGCCTCTACAGAACATGTTTCGATGCTAGAGAACTTCAGACTCTGACAGTGTCAATTCAGCATCTTTTAATGTTCAAATTGAGCTAAAAGAATATTGGTCGTCTTATGACCACTATGAAAATGTACCCAAGCTATCACTTACGGATAGGATTGTCATTATAGTCAAAGATTATAAAGTTAATCATTCTGAGAGGAGCAGAGAGCTCTGAAGCAGTAAGTTTAACTTCCTGAGACGGCAAAAACTGAGAAAGGAATTCAGCACTGCACATCATTTTTTTGTCTGGCAATACCTACACTCCTTTAAATATTTACTACCTTCTCATCTATCTTTAAAGATCTTGCTTCTTAACTAAAAAAATTCTCCAACTACAAAAGCTAAGCTGCACTCACCCTGAAGTGCGATTTTCCAGTTTTGCAACCCGTAGACACTTGAATCACAGAATGTGCAGATTTGCACTGTTCTACAGGGAAGCACAAGAGTTTGCTAACAGTCTTCTCTGAAAGAAAGATCTAATGAACATTCACTGCTAGCGTCCATTGCATAAGCTTTTAATACAGCAGAAAAAGCTAATAGAATTGCACATACCAGTCTCACTGACTATTTTGCTGTTAAAATAGCATGACGTACTTCAAAACAAAATCCTGTATAAAATATGTAAGTATTTAAAAGATATTCCTAAAGCAGCAAGACCCAAATGAGAAGGCCTAGCAACTCCTTGCCCCGTTAAAATACCCTTTAGCCTTGTGATTTACACAGGAAACAGAACTCTCAAGAACAGCCATTCAAAGCTAACTGAAAATTCAGAAATTATAAATGCCAAAAGAGTTGCTACATTTACATGCTGTCAGGGTTGTTTGCTTTGTGGGTTTTTATGTTTGTTTTAAAATCCATGGCTTGGCCTGTATCACCAAAATAAAGCAACAAAAACCAGTACAGATCAAAAACATCAGTCCAAAACAGCAATACTTGATACAGACAGAGATACATGCTGACATTTCAGCAATGTGGAGCTAAACTATTAACCTATTTAAAAGGAATACCCCAAGATTACCTCAGAACTTTAGAATCCAAAATTATAATAATACACTCAAAAGTATATTTTTGTAATCAGCAAAAAAAGTTAAAAACACTTTCTTGACTTCAGAAAATGGTCCATTAAAAATAATAGGTCAATAACTGCATTTAATGTATATGCTTCTTACAAAGGTTAAGCCTTCAAAAATACCTGGTTACGAACTCTGGGTTTTTAAATTATTATTTTTTTAAATTAGTTTTACAACATTAGCTACTTCTTTGCACCTTTTTCTCTTGGCTTCTCTGCTCTGAAATTAGGGGTGAAATCTCTTGGGTATATGCAATGTCAAAATACTTGTTCAAAATGATAGCATCGAGCTTTGCTGGTAACTAGTTGTGCCTCAATTTGGGCACTTGTGCTTCTGAAAGCTTTCAGGATTATTTTTCTTGAGGTGTACGCTGTTTATCAATCTCCAGGCGTGAATACACTCCTGTCCTACAACCTCCATTTTGGCTACAAGCATGGCCCTGTACTAGTTTCCCAGAAATTAGGTACTCTCTTTCTTCCTGCACAAATTTAGCTCTTAAGCTTCCTTAATGTAAGAGTAGCTTCTTGTTATGCTGATGAAACTCACACAAAGGAACTTCCACCTACTTCCTCCATCTTCTACACACAATAAACAGCCCAGCAATCTGTCCAAACTTTCATCTACTCTCCCACAGCAGCACAAGGGTCTTGATACTTCAGCTGCCCATTGTAACTATGAGAAACTGTTGGCCACTTCAGTTTTATAAAACAGATGAACAAAGTACTTTTTCACCACCGCAGTTCTCACATAGTCAAGAGACAGAAAATCCTAATATGGCAGCTAATAGCCATTGTTCTGCTAATGCTCATTTCAGACTGCCAAAAGACATGGGGATCAGCAGCTCAGAGTAGCACCTTTTCCATGACTGCTAAATCACTAGCAGAAGAATAGACTTTGTTTCATCAAGATACGATGAAAGAAAGTGAGCCTCATAAAAGAAACAAAGGAAAAGGCAGGTTACAGCAGTGCAGCTGTGGAACAGGAAAGCAACTGAAGTGTTTTACTACTACATGGGTCATTTGATAGAGGTCTATTACTACTCTGTGTGGCACAAAGCTGTGGTGCTTCTTGGGTTGTTTCAGTACTGCTGCTGTACTTTTCCACACTGGAAGTCTCACACGTCACAGATTGCTGTTTTCCTGGTGTCTTTAATTCTGCACTCACAGTACTTCACAAGATGCTACACTGTACCAGAAGCGAGCTGCAGTATTAAATAAAATTCATTCCACTGCAGGGAAAAAGAGTCTTAAAATACAGCAGTTGTTAATATATACAGACACTTTCATTTTAAACTCCTTATTTTCTTCCACTTGAGTGCCAAAACAGAGTCACTATTCACACAGGCTGTCAATAGACTTTGAGACATGAACTTTGAGTGTCTTGACAAAACCCCAATAAGTAAGCTTATTGTAGTTCATAGTTACAGTGAGAAAGACAGATAAGAAAGCCATATACAGAATTAAGGAGACTTTGCACTTTTCATCATGCCCAGCCCTGGGTAGTTCAGATGGGGTACTTGCAGGCAAGCAGGCAGGCAGGGTCATCATCAGTTGTTTGTGTTGGGACACCTCATAGATTTCACTGCTCACTCTGAAGACTGGCGATTCATGTGTGCTTTTTAGTTTCTTTGTTTTTAAAAGTCTTTAAAGTTGCATCACTCGGAATCAGATAAGTCACTTTAAACAAAGCAAAGTGTTAAGTGTGACAATTTATTTATAACATACTTCCCACCATCACCACCACACACCACCCTGTGAAAGAAAAACCCCTGCTGAAAGGGTGACAATTTTTAGCCTGCTTGAAAGAAATTCAAAGTATGTTTGAAAGAAATTCTTCACTGCATGAAGAGCCACTCTAGCCAAATTAAGAGCATAACAGGAGGGTGGAGAAGGAGGGATAATTCAAAGCATACATTTACTTCAAGCATTCTGGATTAGTCTACTCCTCCACTTCCCTAAGAAGTCAATACACAATTGGTCTAAACTCATACCAATTTCTACATTACATTTAAAAGAGAAGCTAGGCAAGAATCTTTAGTGTAGTAAAGAAACCCCAATGCTTTTTAAATATACTTTTCAGATTTCAGTAGGGGAACTGGAAACTAGCCTAAACATCTTCTATCTCACATTTACTTCCTAATATAAATATTAGCTCAGGAAGTATAGCCTAAGAATTCTGACACAGCCACTATCTTAAGGTAGCTTCTCTTGTTAAGAGGACTTCAAGACATACACTTCTGTTAAAGCTTCTGATACTTGCAGTTGTAGGCCACATAGAAACTCTCAGCATCACACAACTTATTTTTCTTTTAACATCACACACTGTTGAAGCAGCGTTTGGTGCTGAGAATGGATTACTTCCAAGGGGGCAAGTTTTGTGTGCTAAATTTGTAACAGGAAACATGCTGGAGAGAGAACCAGCAGGCATGGAGAGACCAGATATGCTGCTACACAGGAGATAGTGAGGTAAACTGTTTGTGTTTAGAGTGGGTGTAGCTTGTTCCATAGAGTGTTCATGAGGCAAAGGACCAAAACTCTTTCTCAAGCTCTTGTACCACAAGTAAGGTGCAGTAAAGTAACAGTGGCTTGTTTACTTCTTAATAAAAACCCCCCTTCTTCCAAAGCATAAGGTACTGACAATTCCTTAACAGATGGGACTCAAGGTTCAGCCTAACGAGCCAGACCTCTTTTTCTAAATCTCCCTTCTCAGCTAAGTGTAACATGCTGCTTTATCAGCAGTTCAAATCCCTTGAATGAAAAAAGGAGAGGTGGTGGTAGAAATACAGCCTAAAACCCACAGCAAATTATTTTGTCCATATATGTAAAGTGAGAGATGCCCTATTCTTCTCTCTCCTTAGTTTCTGAAAGTTATCCATGATTAGAACCTACCAAGATGTTTGAGAAGTATTTTAATCAACACTGCACTGACTCTGGTCTGCATAACACTTGTGCATTAAACTCGAGATACCTCAGTTTTTACACAAGATTGAATATTTTCCTGTCTTCCTGTCCTAAAGGTTCCTCTATTCCCCTTCAAGGGGAAGAGAGTTCTATACAACAGGTACTTCCTTATGCCTCTGAATGGGAGAGGAAATAATTTCATGATGCTGTCCAGCAACATCTACTTTTCTCTTAAAATAATGTTTTATAATTTGACTGGGAGGGGTGGGTGGGGTGGAGAGGGAAAAAAGAGCAGGAGTATAAAAAGAAAAAAAACAACAAACAACAACAAGAGAGTCTCTCCTTGGCTCTTTCTCCACTTAAAATGGAGATAAGAACAGATAGCAAAAGCTCCATCCAGTCAGGAGGAATCCACATATATTCCTCCAGACAGGTGAATCTGTTCTACTGTATGACATCAGAAAATGCTCTATCAGTGTTAAAAACAAAGTTGTAAATATGGACACTAAGATTTTGGGCAACAAAATGATCAGGAAAGGGCCTGAACAAGTTGTGCCAACAGAAACAGGGTTTGGGGTTTATTTTGTGTAGATGCGAAATGGCAAAGCCTCCACAAATTTTATTTCTGGGAGTCTCTACAGAAGGCAGAGAAGTCTAAAAGGCTAAAACAAGGAGCCCTAACAAGGAAAAGGGGTGTGCTTACAAGGGTCCGTATCTGGTCTCGTATTTAGAAACAATGTTCTTGCATCGTCCCACTTCCTTGCGCAGCTCTGCAACCTCCGTCCTCAGGGCTGTATTCTCTTTCTCAAGAAAGGCTGCCCGAATTGTGATCTGATTCTCCTTTAATCGCCGAGCATCACGGGAACGCTTTGCTGCCACATTGTTCTTCTTCCGCCTTGTCCAATATTTTTCATCCTGTAGCAAAAAAAAAAAAAAAGAAGAAAAAAAAGATGCCAACCTGACAGCTATATCAAATAGACACCTCTTTATTGTACAATGACATTCACACCAATTGCTATATTGAAGAATCTCCTTTGTTGGTTTGCAGGGCTCAGACACCAAAGTGCAGGCAATCTTACAGTACTGTAAGATTTCAACCTTACACGAGTCTTGTTAAAAACAAGTGCACTGCTAGAACGAGGGAGATTAAGAGACATGGCTATTAAGAAGCTGTTTAACTGAAATGCTCCCTTTACTTAGTTTCAGTTTGGGAATGAACTTCCACAGAAAACAACCTGTATTGTTGTCTGGGCTGCTTAAAGCCCGATCAGTCGTAATGCTGGGCAAATATATACAATGACCTTCAAAAGCACAGTTGATGAGGATGTGACTTGATAGTTCTTCTAATTTCTGTGTATAGCATGATAAGTTGCTCCTGCCCAGTAACTATCTCATGATAACAAACCAGCAAAACAGCAAGAACAGCAGTTGACTTGCCAATTCTATTCTTGGCAGTGCTTCTGCCCGATCACGTAGGTATAGCACATTAGCTTTATGTGTCAAAATGTTTGGGCAAAGAGTCAGAAACTTTGACCAGGGCCTAGAGAAGTTTGCAGCGATAAATTTGTTACCTTTTGCTCATCTGGGACAAAAACCTTCTTGGCTTTTTTAATCATGGGTTGTGGTTTCAGGTCCTCTTCAGTAAACTTGTGCTTGCGAGGATTGAAGAGCTCACCACCAGGCACACTGGACAGGACTAAATCAGCAGGGTCAGGGTTAAAATTCACCTCAACTTCTACGCAGTCAGGATCAATGGGGCTGGGAGTATTTCTCTCATTTTGTGGTGGGGACTCTGGCAACAACAGGAGAAGTTACAATACATTCAACAGGATTAAGTGAATTAATGAAGACGACAACTTGGGTATCTCTATTGCCCTACTGGGGGCAGTACTTAATAGTAGTATTGGGTATTTTCCTAAGGTGTGCTTGGTGCTGTATGGCTGCTGGTACTGAGAGAAGCCATACAGTCCAGTTTGTAATACAAACTCTAGGAACATATGCCAGACTAACAGACATTAATAGATAGATGTGGGACAGGAGTTAATACTTCCTTGGCAAAAACTACATGCTTTGTACACTTAAGAAGTGCTTTCCGCAGCAGTAAGAAGTGTGAAATTTGTATCAGCCTGAGTTTTGTGCCAGAGAAAGCCTTACGGAGACAAGCCTGCACAAAGACCCTGGTCCTCAAGTCCTTCAAAGGTCAGACAATTGTATTTCCAAACACAGGACTAAATAAAGGTGAGCCTGTTACAAATGCAACAGTATTCTACCTCTTCACCACATGGACACAAACGTCCAGATTGTCTGACACTGGTAGTGTTTGTATGAACTCTGTCATATTTATCTATCGTTTAAAAACTTCATACACATTAATTTAGATTAGATATTAGGAAGAAATTATTTACTGTGAGAGTAGTGAGAGTTACCCAGAGAAGCTGTGCATGCCCCCTCCCTGGAAGTGTTCAAGGCCAGGCTGGACAGGGCTTTGGGCAACCTGGTCTGGTGGGAGGTGTCCCTGCCCATGGCATTGGGGTTGGACCAGATGATCTTTAAAGTCCCTTCCAACCCAAACCATTTTATAATTCTACAAGCTGCAAATGTCAGTGCAATTTGAAGTTGCGATCAATCAATAAGTTTCTTTCATATGCCACCTAGAAAAAAGCCACACCCTATGTCTTACTGAAGGAGTTCCACTTCTTGTCTTTTTCACACATTCAGAGAAGAGGCCCCGAGTAAAATGCTTTCTGTAAATTCTGCTCATAAAATAGTACTGTGAAAGTTTAGTAGCTATCATGTTTAAACTCCAAATCTAGGGCAAACTGAGCTACTGAATTCTTTAATAGAGAAGATCTCCATACTACAAATGAAGAGCAGAAGTTTTCTAGTACCATTTATGTATAGTTTTGTTTCTTTGTTCCTCAATTCCCACTTCAAAGCACCACAGAACATCAAACCGCATAATTAACAGACCTTTTCCAAGTGTCTGTTCTCACATTTCACAGGCTAGTGTCAAAAGATGCTTCATTGTTCTTCTGTTTAAGCATTGTTACTTGAGGTACATTAAGTTAGCTACGTTCACCCAAGCAGACCAAGCCACCAAGGTAGCACAAATGACTTGTCATAAACGATCAAATCTGTTGTAAAATAACCTGAGAAACTATTTTCTCAACATGCCCTGCTTCTCACTAGATTAGCAATGCCAAGACAGCAAACACTTTATGTTGATGTTTCAGCTGTTCTAATTTCAAAAGAGAAATAGACTGTACACTGAGAGACATTTACTCATTTTTTCCCAGGAAGGGGGAGAAGGAAAGAAGGGAAGAAGGGAAGAGGCAACGTCTTCATGAATTGACACATGAAGTAAGGCTGAGCATGTTTGTGCTGCTTAACCTGCCACAGCTAACACTGACAGGTTAGCATGTCTACTCTTTGTTCTAAAGAGGAACCTTTTAATACGAGAACAACAAAAATCTCTCAGAGTCCCATATTATTCGACCTACCTGTGCTGGAGGCTGCTTCAGACTGCTGGTAAACCGCAGTGGAAGAAGAAGATGCAGGAGAACCAGTGGAGGCACTGGCAGACTCTTTTCCTTCCAGCTCAGCCACAGGCAAGAGTGGATTCTGGTTCAAATCCAGGTGAGTAGGGCTGGAAGGAATTCCATTCTCCAGAAGAAACTCATCCAGATCCATGTACTCCAGGTGGAAAGATTCACCATCATAAGGAATAGTTTTGTCCCAGATGGGTGGCATAAGGGAAGCCGAGACCGCCATAGTGCTGGCAGCTGCTGCCTCATCTTCCTCAAGCTTTATCTTCTCCTTCTCTTTATCTGGAAGACACAAGTAGGTCACTGTACAAGATGCAACACAGGAGACACTCAAGGTTTAAGAGTCTAACAAAATGCCCACAAAAGGAAACTCAGTATTTCTGCATTATGACACGATCTGAAAAAAACAGATGTTGAAAGGCAACATTCATACATTCATGTGTAACTCAGGATGGAATGATCTGGCTCTCTGTGATGGCTGGACCACAGACATTTGAGTAGCCTTGAACACCAGCATCTTTGTTGTGATAACTTGCCAAAGTGTGATATAATGCTGCATCTAGCTTATTAATTCATCACTGCAAAATAGCCTGGTTTTCATAGGTTTATCTTGGAGGACAGCAAAAGTGAGTGCCCATAAGTAGGATTACATGGGAAGTCATTAAGAAAACTCCACGGAAGCAGAATAGTTTATTCTACACACAAGGAAAGAAGATGCAGAAGAACAATCTAGACACAAACAAGAAAGGAATATGGGTTATCAGATTACATTTGAAAATCAGTCAGAAGGTCCAGAGGACACCAGAGACCTGGATGTCTATTGTTGAGTATTTCAGAAGCGCGTCTCTCTGAAATGACTCAGCACGTCCACACAAAGCAATAGCTCCAAATGCTGTTCACTATAGATAGCTCAGAGTACCTACATACAATTTTCACTCTTTGGGGAGATGTCTGATGAGGCACACTCCCACACCCCACCCCCAAGCCACAAAAGACTGATGAATTTTTCTCCATTTACTGTGCTACAGTGCACATAATACAGAAAAATGGCTGTTTCTATGTTCCACATAGCTACTGAATCTTAACAATTGTCTGGGACAGAATCCAAGCAGAAAACTCAAGTTATGGAATAATTACATAATTTAAGATAAAAATAAGCTGGCAGGGAAAAAAAAGAAAAATAAAACCCAAGTAATTTCCCTGATTAAATTCTCCATGTAGTCATGCAGTTCTACCAGCACTGAAGGAGGCATTGCAACAGCAGTGCCAGCACTGCCATTAAAAGGAACTGTCATCAGTTGCACCCAAACTGGGTCTCACCATGAAAGCTGACAAATACTCAGTTCAATAGAACAAGGACTTCATGGACATACACTGGACCAGTCTGGATCTCCAGGATTCACACAGGTTAGCCCGAAAAAATGCACAAATTTTTGGCATTAGGGTTTTCTAGACTGGCTACAATATGCTAAAGGAGTATTTTTCCTTATCGGGGGTGAGAGTGGGGGTGAAATGCAGTTCTAAATCAGAAAAGCCTATTTATATAAAACCTATTCTGATACAACTGGTAATCCTTCCACTGTTGCCTCAGCTGGTGTGGCACCGAGACTGAAAGCTTTTTATGGCTTAAAGAATGGTGCTGCCATACAATGGCAATGAGAAATTTTATGCCATACAACGACATAAATTGCTGTCATAAAAATGATCATTTTAACCTACCATACTCTGAACATTCTATACAAAAGAAGATACCAACTTTAACCTAAACAGCTGAGAAAATATTCACCAGCCACCAACTTAGGACTAAGAGCAAGTACCTAAAGAACATGTTAAATTCACAGCAGTGGCTTCTGGACCTGAGCTTTGTTAACATCTTCTTGCAGCTTTTGGCCTTCCCCCTTGCCACTTCACACTGCTGCCTCTTAACTGCCATCTCCCAGCTCCTATTCCTGC